TATGTTTGTAACATTGCCCCAAAGGCACCAGGAATTTTCTTCCTTTCCCTCTCCTTACAGATAAGTCACCATGTAAGAAGTCGTTAGAATGTGGGAAACTTCTAGCTCATGATGGTGTTCTGTTCACAATCAGAAGCAAGCTACCTCCCTAAACCTGGAGTCTTGCTCATGACAACTGTTTGATTGACTGTCTTCCAGTCTGGATGTCCCCCATGATCTTCATGTGTATTCCTCCCAGCCCTCAAGGCCCAGCCCCCAACTCCAGAGCTCAGTAGAAGGGTCTCTGATCATCCACTTCGACGCCTCTGCCGGCACTGTCTGTGCCACTCACACTGCCCATACTTTCTGTCCTTTTTTGGTAGCTATTTGTGTCCATGTCTGGTAGCTTCTGGCAGCTGCAGACTACTATTTACTTTCCTCAGAGCACACCCACCACATTGCCCTGCTTCTGAAAAGTACTGAATAAATAGGAGTTGAATGACTGAATACATAAATAAATGCATCTGCTTCTTCCCCAAGTGACCAGCACTCCTGTGATGGGGCTCAAAGTTCTCTTTAAGATCCTGTTATGTCCTTTAGGAATAGACAGTTTCCTTCTTCTGCGGAAGAGCATTTAGTTTGTGCGCTCACATTTGACTGAACCAAAGTATGGGTTAATGTCAAGTTCCATCAAATATTGCTAATTTCTAATTTTTAAAAAATGTTCATTACATCAATGGGATAAAAAAAAGAAGACTAGAGCATAACACGGATGCAATAAATATGCTGAGTGAATTAATGAATGAATGAAGGAGGGATGGCATAAGGCTAGACAACAGGAAATTTTATTAAAAAATAGAAACAGAAAAAGGATAGATGCATAGAAGACAGAAAAAAAGTAACAAGAGAATAAGGGAAGAGGGAACGGAGATGCAAGGCTAACTAAATTCTAAATCAGCAATTCTGGTTTTACCACAAAGTTGAACTTGATCATTCAACAAGTGGAGAGGAATTGGGTGAGAAGAGACAGACTCTGAAGACAGACAGATCTGAATTCTGATATCCACTCAGCAGCTGAGTGACCTTGAACTAGTGACTTAACCTCTCTGAACTCATTGCTTTGTTTTAAAACCTTTTATTTTGAAGTAATTTTGGATTTTTTTCTTTTAAAATTTGAGACAGTTGCACTATTTGCCCAGATTGACCTCAAAATTCTAAATCCTCCTTCCTAAGCCTCCTGAGTGCTGGAATTACAGGCATGTACCACCATGCCTGGCTTATTTTTTTTTCTTTTATTATTCATATGTGCATACAAGGAGGCTTGGGTCATTTCTCCCCCCTGCCCCCACCCCCTCCCTTACTACCCACTCCGCCCCCTCCCTCTCCCCCCCACCCCCTCAATACCCGGCAGAAACTATTTTGCCCTTATTTCTAATTTTGTTGTAGAGAGAGTATAAGCAATAATAGGAAGGAACAAGGGTTTTTGCTGGTTGAGATAAGGATAGCTATACAGGGCATTGACTCACATTGATTTCCTGTGCGTGGGTGTTACCTTCTAGGTTAATTCTTTTTGATCTCACCTTTTCTCTAGTTCCTGTTCCCCTTTTCCTGTTGGCCTCAGTTGCTTTTAAGGTATCTGCTTTAGTTTCTCTGCGTTAAGGGCAACAAATGCTAGCTAGTTTTTTAGGTGTCTTACCTATCCTCACCCCTCCCTTGTGTGCTCTCGCTTTTATCATGTGCTCAAAGTCCAATCCCCTTGTTGTGTTTGCCCTTGATCTAATGTCCACATATGAGGGAGAACATGCCTGGCTTATTTTGAAGTAATAATTTTATTTCAAAAATTAAAAGTAAAAATTTTAGATTCAGAGAAAAGTTGCAAAAGTAGTAAAGAGTTCCAGTATCTCCTTCACCCAGCTTTCCCTTAATGTTAACATGTTTAATAATCAGAGTACAAGTATGAAAACTAGGAAATTAACATTGATACAATAATACTAACTAAACTACAAGCCTTAATAGGGTTTCACTGGTTTTTCCATTATATCCTTTTTCTAGTCCCAGATCCAAAAGGACCCCATGTTGCCTTGACTAGCCATGTTTCCTTGTCTTCTCTTAGTCTTCACAGTTGCCCAGTTTCTTTTCCCTTAACTTTCAAGATCTTTTTAAAGAGTTGACTGTCCCTGGCATTTTTTCATTAGTAGATTTAGGTTTGCATTTGTGGCAAAAACACCACACAGATGGCATCGTGGTCTTCTCAGCGCACTGTATCAGGAGGTGCATGATGAAATGTCTTATTACTGGTTCTGTTAACCTGGGTCAACCCTGGTTGAGTGTCTACTGCTCTGTTTCTCCACTGCTTTATTTTTCCTTTGTAATTAACAAGTATCTATGGAGAGATGTTTTGAAACTATGTAAATTCATCATATTTATTTTCACCCAATAATTGTGGAATTCATAGTGGTTCTTAACTGCAACAATTACTACGTAGCAATAATGGTGGGTCCCTATATCCCTAATTTGTCCTACTTTTATAAATTGAAATTCTTCTATAACTAAGAGCTGTACCTCCCGCCACACTGCCACATTGATTTATTTGCTTAACAATATGGACTTGGGAATATTTATTTTTACTCTATGGGTCAGACTTCAACACCATCATTTGCTTTGCTGTCTAAGCTTTACTTTCTTCAGCTGCATGACAGGGATAATGCTAACTCTCATAAGGATCAAATCAGATTTAAGAGTGTGAAAGTGTCCAGTCCAGAGCATTCACTAAACAGATGCAAGTTTCTTTCCTTCCCTCTCTTTCCAGTGTGGAAAGGCATCTAATGTGGAGGAAGGCCATTCTACATAGGTGAAAATCTGAATTTAATAATTCTGTTTTAATGTATTGCAGCTTTTCTAGCTAAAAGCATATAAAGCAATTAGAATTTAGCTATCCTCATGCTGCCTAGTGAAGGTCATTTGGAATCTGCCTGTCATGACTACATAAGAGTGGTTTTTAATCAGCATACCCATAATTTGTATGAAAATAGATGCTTGAGAATACTTGAAAACAGACTGTTCTCTTAAGTAGTTTAAGTGTTTTCCCAGAAATCTTGTTTATGTCCTGAAGTTGCTTAGCTAAACTATTTTCAGAGATAGTCCAAAGCAGGCCTCGACCCAGCTGTGGGTCATATCATCACTAGCTCTGAATCAGTGAAATCATTGATTCATCTTTGATTCCCAAGCTTACGGCAGCAAGTGGAAGATATCCAAGTTCAATTTAAAATTAGATTTTAAAAGTTCTGGCAATTCACTTGTAAGTTCAGGTTGAATTAGGAAAAAAAAAAAGGACAAGAATAGGATCCTAAAGATGTGAGAGTGAGCAAATGTGGAAGTTTAAAATAATTCACAAAATACAGTAAAATCCACTAGTAACATCACTCGTGTACGGGAACTTTCATTATCCTGTCCATTTTTATCAGTAAGGAAAATCAAGAACATCAGAGATTTATTTTTAAAAACAAACAAACGACAACTCTGGAGCAGTATAGTTTGCAAGCTCTCATGAGGCCCTTCAGTGATTCTGTCTTACTCATTTTGGGAGGAAGCTGTACCTTTAGCAGCCACCAGTCCCAACACGAGCCTGATATAGATAGGAGAATATTGTAGGGGTTCAAAGCCCAGCTCTGGGACCTGGCTATATGGGTTTGGGTACTACAACTGCCTCTCATAGTAGACCAAGGTCTTACAGGGTATAAACCTTTGTTTCCCCATTGGTAGGGTGGGGATCATGACAATATCTGCCTTGAAAGTTGCTTCAAGGAGCTAATAAGTGGTACATGTAAAATGGTCAGCAAGACAGTGCTAGATGAATGTCAGTCACTCCTATGGATAATAGACTTCTCCCTGGGGAATGGAGTTTGGGGCATATCTGAACACAGAACCACTTGGGCTCAGCCTCTAACACTTCCTGCATTCACTGGGTCTTAGCCTGCTCTCTGGCATTTACCACCACTTCCAGGGTTTTCACTGGGATGGAGGCTATAAAGTGAGCCAAAGTTAGAAAGGGTAGAAGTAACAAAGATTGATCTGCTGTCAACCAGGGATACACATGACCCAGAATGGAAGGTCCTCTCAGCATTAGGAAGAGTTTACTGAATAACCAAAATTAGAAATTACTGTCTTTGTGGATTCAACCAACCAATAACCAACAAAACCCAATTTAAAATTTTGTGATTTAATATTCAAGGCAAAAGAGATTTCATCTAAAATACATATAAATGCAGAACTGAAAACTGTGAGTTTACATTATTGAACAAAAGGGTTCTTTAAGCCCAACAGCACAGTATACCCTGACTCCAGTATGCATGGAAACCCATGACTCCCTGCTGTTCCTTGTCTTTGCACAAGGGCCACAGGGATGCCAGCCATTGACATTTTCTCTTCCAGTGAGAACCCTAGACCCTGTATAGAAGCTCCATCCTAAGTGTTTCCAGACTCCAGTCATACCTGTCTTCTTCAGAACTGGCTTCTGGCCTGGTCTCAGAAGCTTTGGAGTGACTTTCTGGGCTGAGGATATTCATGGGATATAGAGAGAAGTGGGGTGATTCATGACCTCAGTGAATTACCCCATGGTTCTCCATGTGTGGAATCCCAGATGTATTGGTTTTTAAGTTTCTGCTGAGGAGTCCTGATAGTGGGATAGGAGGTGGGCTATATAAATGTGGCCTTCACAACTGTGAGGCAGATCTTAAAAGCACTGGTGGGAATGGTTAGAGGGAAGACTGGGAATGGAAAGTCTGGTTGATGGAATGGAGAAGGATTTGTAGATTCAGCAACACAGGAAATGGAGATAAGATCAATCAGGCAGAAGGACAGTGTAAGGCTGATCTCATTGTTTGGTAAGAAAAACAGCAATTGTGAAGTGGCAAGACAGGAAGATGAGATATTAGTAAAAGAAAAACCTACAAGAAGAAATATACTTAGAAACCATTTATGGCAATTCAAATCCAAAAACATCTGAGTGAGTGACTCCTTACCTCATTAAATCTCGTCACTAGATTCTCAAGGGCATTGTGCTCTCCATTCTGAGTGGTGAGAATTGAGGCTGAGATGGATGATTTGAGGCAGGGCAGGGACCTTTGGCATTCCGGGGTGCCCAAGTCTCGGGTTAAGAAACAAAGGTAGTCAACTGGCAGGACCCTTCGGTAAATATTCTGTTCCTGCTCTGTCAGGATGCTGGCAACTTCCTCTGGGAACTGGATTAGGGGCTGCAGATCAATCAGTTCCTTGCTGATGCCAGCTGAACTTGAAGGGAAGTTGTTGGAATTGGCCATAGAGGTGCCTGGTTGGCGTTCTGAAACAAAGCAACAGAAATCATCGTTATATCAAGGTTGGTCCCACACAGATACTTGAGAGTCATTCCAAACCTTGTAGGTTTCTTAGTCAAATCCTTTGTTTGGTGAATAGTTCTACTCTATCTTCCTTGTTATAGAGACCTTTCTAAAATTGTCCTGTCTGTCCTTCTCCCTCCCCTGCTGTGAGGTGGAGCCTGAAGCTATTTTCCATTTGCAGAAGAATATTAATCTAGCATATCATTCTCCAACCAGTTCACTGTGACACTGTGTAGAACACCAATTGCTTCCTTATCTTCCTTTGTTAATGATGAAAGGAAAAAGAAATGAGGGTGGGTGTGGCATAGCCAATTGAAATGGAAGAGGAAAGAAGACTGTGTACATACATATTTGATGTAAATATGTAGGAGATTGGGGATCCAGGAACCCTCTACATACAAGGTGTCAAAATGTGGCAGTATATTTCCCTAATCCTAAACCCTCAAATATTTTGATTTTTTAGAGGTCCATTTGGGGATTTGCAAGAATGGAATACCTATAAAGGTAAAGAAGGCATAGGTCATAAGAAGATGTATTCAAATAAATAAATTTTAGTATCTGGTTTCCAACCAGTGGCAAGATGGTGGCAGAAGAATGCAGGACAGGGAGAGGTGGAGCATTAGAGAGAATTACTAAAGACAGGGAGAGACTTTTTAGGCTCAAATGATTCTTTTAATTAGAAATTCCCTGTGTGCTTTCTCTTTATTTTGATGCCTCCTGCCTATAACTTCCTTGCCTCCTGCTTATAACTTCCTGCCTATAATTCACCCATCCATCCATCCACCTGTTCATCATCTACTTAAGCATCCACCCATCTATGATAAGCCTTAGAGCAGAGTTTCCAAAATTTGATCTTTAGAAGACTGGTATTTGGAAGAAAAATCATTTCTGTGGTCATATAAATTGGGTAAATGTCACAGATTCATGTCCTATTTTCTTCCTGGAGATATTTGAGGCACATTGTTACAGGTCTGAAGGACCTTGCAGTAAAGATATAATTTACATTAGCTTAATCCATTGTTCCCCAAGCCACACTTTATACAATGTCTATGACATCATTCTTTGTGACTAGCATCCTTGGAATCTTTTAAGGAACACTGCCCTGGCGTCCAGGGTCCAATCTGTCCTTGTTCTCCTTCAGTGCATGTCTTTCCTTCCCCACAGACTGTCCAAGGGATCTCCTTCATACTTCTCACACTGCTAGAGGACATATCACATCTGCCCAGAATCTTTCTTACATCACTGCCTTTTCTTACAACATCCTTAGTGGTTCTTGCTAAAATAAGTTCATCTGTCTTCTTATGTCACCATATTTCTCACTACCCGTCTGTAATCAGGTCTGGATTCTGGGCCATAGTAAAGTTCATAGAAGGACTTCCTTTAACATTCAGACCTCAATATTACTTGATTTTTTTTGTATCTCCATCTCAGAAACCTTTTAAAGTTTCCAAATGCTCCATCTCTGAATTACTCAAGTCCAAAGTAATCATTCCTAAATTTGACCTCTGTCTCCCAATATCCAAACCATAGATCCAAATAGGGAATCTCTGCTAATGGTCTAGGCTCTGATTTTCCCCTCAACTCATCCTTTCCTACGCAGCCCAACCACTTTTGAAGCATTGCACAGGAAAAGTTCCTGATGGTGTTTGCTATTTAATTAAGTGAGCTGCTCCCTTTTTGAAGAATGCTATCAGTTCAGTCAAAAACATGTGAAGCTGGGCATGGTAGTATATGTCTATAATCCCAGAATTTAGGAGGAAAGAAGGCAGAAGAGTCCAGACTTAAAGGCTACTCTTGATTGTATAGCAAGTTCTAGGCTATACTGGTCTAGCAAGACCCTGTCTCAAAACAATAACAAAAAATATTATGAAGAGAAAGTTTTAAAGTTTGAATGAAATTGCTTTCCACTGATACAAGTATGGACTGTTTTGAACATATTCCAGGCAAAACTTCCTGTTTTGTCTTTCATGTAAAAATCCATCACATGCAAATGATCTCTTCTCTTTGATTCTGAAAGGTAAACAGGTGAGTAAGGAATTTATTCTAATTATTTTATCTATCTCTTGGGCCAAACTACCAAAAATCTACTGCAGCAAAAGGTGTTAACTACTAAATTATAACTGGTTTTCCCTAAGCTCGTTTTCAAAAAAATTAAAATAAGGTAGATACTTAAATATAGTCAACATGGCTTCACTTTTCAACTTTCTCAATAGTTTAGAAAGTGACTAGATTGCCCAAAAATTGATTCAGACTGTGGCCTGATGATAGGGGCAGTTTTTGGAAATTGACAAATTTATGTACAGTGAAATTAGCTACATATAGGAATTCCTCTCAGAAGTAACCAACTCTAAGACATGAATTCAAAACAACAGTACCTCTGCAGAGGAAATAAAAATGACCCCCAAATCTTATGAAACAACCACTAGTCTAATATACAAGAGAAGAGGTAATATAGTAAAATGTAATAACTGCTATTAAGATGATACATTTGAGCCAGCAACATATCTTGAGATATGAATCACATGCTGTTACAGTGAATGACGAATCTAGTGCTTGGTGGGAAATAGCAAGAAAGGCAATAAAAAAAATCTAAGAAAAAGAAGTCTGGTCAGTGTAACCCTAATAAATCTAGCGGCTTCATGTTCCTCAGTAAAAGTATGACATCACAATCAAAGTAAACACAAATCGAGGCTAGAAGCCTTTGCTGTAGTTTTCATAAAGCAGGATAGTCAGGGTATCCTGAGTGCATTTATATCATGCACCACAAAGAAACACTGTCAAAGTCTTCTTGATACACAGTTTTCTGTCCCCTAAACTCCACTCATCTCTTCCTTCCTCTAACATGCCCCTGTGCTCAGCTGTACATCATGCCTGTCCTCCCTCTCTACAACATGGGCCTCCTGACAATGGATGAAGGACCTACAACTTATGACTCTTGATCCTTCCTCCTTATCTATGCAGCAAAGTTCATAGAGCCCACTGGCATTTATAGATTATTCTCTTGCAAAAAGCATTTTCAGAAAATTTCTGGTGAATAAAATCATCCACTTCATTTACAGTTGGTTCTCTCAGATCCATGGTCTTCTGAAACAGCTATTCTGTAGCAGAATAGGGCTATTTCTCTAGATACTGTCACAGCCTAGACATATGTACCAAGAGACAAAGTAACTTCAATTCTGATTCTCTACTCAAATAAAAGCTTCCTGACTATGTGCTTTCTATAGACTAATTCCAGAGATACACAGTATCATAACCCTTATTTTATTCATGAGAGAACTCAGGCTCACCTAAGGTCATATAAGTAGTGATCAGAGCTGGTATCTGAGCAGGGTCTATTTGACTCCAGAGTTCATGTACTGATCACTCAGTGTATTACCACATTGTATTCTGGTTTATAGACACATCTCCAGAGATTTTAGTAAGTGTAAATCTATTCCTTATGCTTCTTGTTTTGGGGTTATCTAATAAAATGACCTCTTTGGACTTCACAGGTAAGGATTTGACCCAAAGGGTAGACAATTCCTTTCTTTGGTCAGCCTGATGATACTGTAGAATGCAGAAACTCAGACATGCCTTTTGCATGAATTCATAAGGATGTCCCCATGCTTTAAATCAGCATTTTCCAAAGTGTAACCCTGAATTTATGTAAAGTGTGGCTCTTTAGTGAATAATTTAGGGAAAACACTTGGTTAAACAAAGGTAACTGCAGGACCTCTCCAGCCTTTCTTGGCAAGGGGCATATAACATAATATCACAAAGTAACCCTCCTTAACTTTGTTGTCTGTTTCTGTATCATTTCTTGGGAATCACAATCTCTGCAAAATGTTTCTCATTATACACAGAGATTCTCGACAGAACAAATTGGGCCTAAGGAGCTGGTGGTTCCAAGTAGCTTAATCGGCCATGTTATGGGAATCCAATGTAATAACGATCTAAGGGTGAGAGAGAGACTATGCTTTATTTAGGAAACTGTAAATTATTCCCCATGGCTGAAGACTGTATTAAGTGAGATGGGGCATTACTTAGAAAACCAAGAAGGAAGCTTCATTTTCCAGGAAGCCTTAGAGAACTGGTATGGCTCATGAAGAAACAAAGGCAGATATATGCATCCTAGACTTTTAGGTCTCACAGTGCATCCAGGCATCACCTCACCTTGAAGGATGGAAATCTCAGCCAAAATCTTCCTTTGAGGAAAGCTGTCTGAGAAGTTGAAGGATGTCAGCAAGCCCTCCTCTCCTTCTTTCCTTTCTGATGATCACCAGTCCCCCAGTTTGTCTATAAACTGTCATTCTCAGGGGGCTGTCCACAAATTATACACCCTAAAATACCCAGATAGATCTGTAGGATAAGCTTGTAAACTTGAGTATTTCTACTTAATAACTATTCACCTAATGCCTTTGGGGAGCTCCCTAACTTACAGGATTAGCACTTTAAAATAATGCCATTTGGAGCCCTGTTCTACCCAAGGGCCTTCAGTGTGGGCTAGAGTCCAGCAAAATCTGTACTTCCCATTTATTTCTCTTTTTGTTTTTTGGTCCCTAACAAAAGTAAAAGCATTTATTCTTGCTATACCTTATATGAACATCTAGAGTTTACAAAATAATCTCATATAATCTCTGCATAATGTGAAGGAGTCATTGCTCACAGGTAGGCACTGCTACTCTTACATATATGTATATATGTATATATGTTTGAGTTAAGTCATGATGTGACTTGTCCAGGAATCCAGCTTGTGAGTGGTCAGTCCTTGAACTGGCAAAAGCTAAGAGAGAATCTGAAGATCCTGGCTTTTGGCCCAGAACTCTATGCTACCCTAAGAAGCCAAGACAGAGCTACCTTGGGCATGCTCAGTGTCCAGGGACCAGCCTTCACAGCAGCCAGGATATTTGAATGGGTTTAAGAAACACTGGGTATAGATATTAATCCATTCATTTGTTGAGTGCTTGCTATGTTACAGACTTTG